AATTTGGCAAAAGACATATACTTTTAGATTTAAGAAGCCAAGTGAAACTCAGATAGGATAAACCCAAAGATATCCATGCCGAGACACATCACAAATAAACTTCTGAAAACTAAAGGCAATGGAAAAATCTTGAAGCAGCCATAGAGAAATGATGTGTTACCTATTACCTCAACATAGCACTGGAGGTTCCAGCCAGTGCAATAAGGCAAGAAAAAGAAATAAGAGGTATATAGATTGGAAAGGAAAAAAGTTGTCCCTATTTGCAGATGACATGATCGTCTACATAGAACACCCCAAGGAATAATAATTTTTAAAAATCCTACAACTAATAAATGAGTTCAGCAAGGTCACATGATTCAAGATCAACACGCAAAAATATCATCATATTTCTATATACTAACAAGGAAATGCAGAAACCAATTTTAAGACACAATACCATTTACAATCGCTTCAAAGAAAAGGAAATACTTAGGCATAAGCCTAACAAAACATGTATAGGATCTGTATGATAAAAGCTACAAAATGCTGATGAAAGAAATCAGAGAAGACCTAAATAAATGGTGAGTCATATCATGTTGATGGATTTGAAGACTCCACATAGTAGAGATTTGAATTCTCCTGAAATTGACCTATAGATTTAACGTAATTCCTATAAAAAATCCCAGAAAGACTTTTTTTTTAATAGACATAGACAAGCTTATTCTAAAATTTATATGGAAAGTCTTGAAATACCCAAAACAATCTTAAAACCAAAAAACCAAACCTAGGGCCGTCAAGTGGATTCTGACTCATAGCAACACTGTAGGACAGAGTAGAACTGCCCCATAGGGTTTCCAAGGAGCGGCTGGTGGATGCAAACTGCTGACCTTTTGGTTAGCAGCTGAATGTTTAACCACTGCACCACCAGGGCTCCAAAACAATCTTGAAGAAGAAGAAGAAAGTGGGAGGAATCAGCCTACCGATTTTAAGACTTATAGCTGCAGTAGTCAAGACTGTGGTATTGGCAGAGGGATAGACACAGAGATCAATGGAAAAGACCCACACAGATATACTCAACTGATTTTTCTTGAAAAATGTACTAAAGCAATTCAATGGAGGAAGGATAGTCTTTTCAACAAATGGTGCCGGAGCAAATGGACATACATAGGCAAAAAAAAAGAATCTCATATCTTATATAAAAACTAACTCAAAATGAATCAGTGACTTAAATTTAAAATGTAAAACTATAAAACTTTTAGGAAAGAAAACATAAAGGAAAAATCTTTGGGATCTAGGGATACACAAAGCATTCTTAGACTTGACACTAAAAAGCACAATCTATAAAAGGCAAAAATTGATAAATTAGACTTCATCCAAATTAAAAACATTTGTTCTTTGAAAGACTCTATTAAGAGGATAAATAGACAAACTACAGACTGGGAGAAAATATTTGCAAACCACATATCTGACAAAGGACTTTCATCTAGAATAATGAAAGAACTCTCAAAACTCAACAGTAAAAAAAACAAATGATCCAATTAGAAAATGGGCAAAAGACATGAACAGGCATTTCAATGAAGAGGCTAGAAGATGGCAAGGAAAAACATGAACAGATGTTCAAGATCATTAGCCCGTAGAGAAATGTCAAATAAAACCCCATGAGATGTCGGTATACACTATCAGAATGACTAAAATAAAAAACAGTGATAACATCAAATGCTGGTAGGATGTGGAGAAACTATCATATGTATGTTGCTGGTGCGAATGGAAAATGGTACAGCCATTTTGGAAAACAGTTGAACTGTCTTACAAAACGAAGCATGTGTTTACCATGTGACCCATCAATTGCACTCTTGGGCATTTATCCCAGAGAAATGAAGACTTATGCTCATTCCCGAACATGTACTTTGATTTTCATAACATCTAGATTCCTAATGGCCAAACCTGAAAACACCTTCAATGTTCTTCCGTGGGTTGATGGTTAAACAACTCTGTATGTCCATGTCATGCAATTCCACACGTCAATAAAAAAGAACACATACGAAGTACACACAACAATTCGGATGGATCTCCAGGGAATTATGCTGAGAGAAAAAAAGCAAACCTCAAAAGTTACATGCTGTAAGATTCCATTTATACAAGAGTCTTGAAATAACAAAATTATAGAGATGGAGAAAATAGTGGTTGTCAGGAGTTAGGGGTGCGGTGAGGATGGGTGGGGGTGGCTATAGAAGCGTAGCACTTCAGAGCCCGTGGTGATGGACCGGTTCTGCATCTTGGCTGTGGTGGTGGTTGCACAAATCTATACATGGGATAAAATTGCATGTTGTCATTGTTAATTTCTCTCGGGTTGATTCTGACTCATGGTGACCCCATGTGTGCAGAGTAGAACTGCTCCATAGGGTTTTCAAGGCTGTGACCTTTCAGAAGCAGGTCCCCAGGACTGTCTTCTGAGGCGCCTCTAGGTTGGTTCAAACCACCAACCTTTCGGCTAGTAGTTACCACCCGGGGCATAGAACTGCATATATGCACGCACACACAAGTAAGTGTTTGTGAAACTAGTCAAACCTAAACAAACTCTGTGGATTGTACCAATGTCCATTTCCTGGTTCTGCTAGCACACTATAGTTATGCAAGATGTTACCTTTGAGGGAAACTGGGGAGAAAGTACCTGGGATCTCCCTGTACACTGTGTTGCAAATTCCTGGGGTGCTTAATAAATTACAGAGTCACAACCCTGCTCCGCCTCCCCACCCCAGGTCTGATCTAGTAGGTCTGGGTGGGGCCCAGGAATCTGCATTTTAACAAGCCCTCCAAATTCTGGTGCAAGAAGACCAGTCCTATATGCAGGAACACTGTCCTAAAAAAACCCAAAATGCCATCGAATTGATTCTGACTCATAGCAACCCTGTAGGACGGAGTAAAACTGCCTCATAGGGTTTCCAAGGCTGTAAATCTTCACGGAAGCAGACTGCCACATCTTTCTCCCGAAGAGTGGCTGGTGGGTTCAAATCGTGGATCTTTCAGTTAGCAGCCGAGCGCTTACCCACTGCGCCACCAGGGCTCCTTAGGAACACTTTCCTAGGTAGGGCTGGTCAAAATCTCCAGTGATTTTCAGAGCGCTCAGAAAATAATGATGCCTGGCCTCACTCAGCCCTATTGAACCACCTAATTTTAACAAGCTCCCCAGGGGATTCCGATGTGACTGAGAATAACCACACAGGGGGCCCACAAACCCCAAGTTAAAAACCCTGCTCTATACTCAGCCAAAGGTTCACAGCCATTCTCATGTCCCAAAACTCTTAAATGAAAAAGGAAAGTGTTTACACTGGGCCTCACACACATTTGGGTAACATATTTTGTATTGATTTATCATTATCCAAATAATTGTGTATGTCATCGGGATTTTTAAAAAATAAAATAATACTTCTGCATTCAAATGGAAGTTGTCTGTCCAAGGAGTCACCGTGGGAGTCTCTGCGCTATTTTCTAGCAGGACTGCTAATGCGAAGAACAATTTTGCAACGATTCCTTCAGAATTGCTTCGGAGCTGATACATGAATCTCTTGAGAAAACGGGCCTCATTTTACATGTAAATTGTGTAATCTTGTGAATTTATATGTATAAAAATGTTCATCTGTGGTTTGAGGAGCTCCTGGGCAGATCTTGAATGAAGGGTGATGTAAGTGAAGTTTGTCTTAAGCACACACAGCCTTCCTCTGGGGTCCCTGGGATGGGCCCACTGTTTTGTCTGCCCAGCCCTCCTCGAGCAGCCAGCCACTCCTCATCCATTCCACCCCGTCTGGTCATTCTTGTTAGCTGCCGTTGAGTCGGCTCTGACTCATGGAGACTTTGTGTACAGTATCATGGAAGGATGCCTGGTCCTGCACCATCTTCATGATTGTAGCACGTTTGAGCCCATTGTTGTGGCCACTGTGTTGCGCCTTGCAGCCTCGGGCGCTCATCTTGGAGCATCAATCGGACCATCTTCTGTTGCGATCCATGGGGTTGTTCATGGGCTAATTTTCTAAAGTATATTACCAGGCCTTTCTTCCTAGTCTGTCTTAGTCTGGAAGCTCTCCTGAAACTTGTCTACTATGAGGGACGCTGCTGGTATTTGAAATACCACTGGCATAGCTTCCAGCATCATAGCAACATGCAAACCACTACAGAATGACAAACGGACAGACAGGCGGTGGTAGACAGTCTGAAGGAGATGCCAATGACAGACTCCTGCCCCTGGTCACGGGACGGATGCCTGATCCAGCCATGGCCTATCATAGTATCTCATCCACTTGGTAACAGTGATTGGTCCAAGGGGTGGGCACATGACCGGACCAGGGCCAATCAGAATTCTCCCCTGGCATTACATGGATACCAGGGTGAGAAGCTCTCTCTCCTGGAGCTGCTCAGCTGGGAACATATGGCTCTAGGGCTACTACATGGAGAGAAGCTAGGTGCAAGGGAGTCCCCCACTGGCGTGGTGGTTAAAGCGCTAGGCTGTTAACCAGAAGGTCAGTGATTGGAATCCACCAGCTGCTCCTTGGAAACCACATGGGGCAGTTCTCCGCTGTCCTACAGGGTCACTATGAGTCGGAATCGACTCAATGGCAACGGGCTGTTGTTTTGTTGTTATGTGCAGGGAGAGCCAACAGAGACGAGTAGAGATTGAAGATGGACAGACAGCGTATCCAGGAAGAACAAAGTCCAGTTCACAGTCCCAGGCCCCGTCTCATGCAGCCTTCCTCTGACCCTGCAGGCTTGTGCTGAAGAAGTTAGCTTGTGCTTGTGTTCATTTGTGCTAGGTTTCTATTACCTGTGATTAGGAAGTCCTAACCAATATGGCGCCCCTTTCCCTGCTCACCTTTCGGATTCCCAGTGCCATTCTGGTCTCATACGTGCTCCCCTAAACGGTCAGTTAAGTATGTTGGTGTGAACCTGTGACCATGTCTTGTGCTTCCAGCATGGTGTTGCAGCTGGAAGGCAATGCACCCTGAGGCCAGCAGCCTGGATCTGGGATTACCCAGCTCTGCCACCCACTCCGGGAAGGATCCTCGGCAAACGCCTGAATGCCCTGGTTTCCACTTCCTTGCCTCTGAAATAGGGGAGAAAACCAGGTGATCTCTGAGGTTTCCTGTAGCTTTAAATCTATACTTGCTATGATTTACAAGGGAAAGTAAATTATGGTCTTCGAATAGTAAGTCTAGGCTCTATAGGGTGCGAAGAAACTTCCTATATCAGTGAAATCGGCCTCTGGATGAGTTGAAGGCCCTCCTCAGAACCTTTGAGGTAACCATGACAACAGCAGCAATTATTATTGTTTACTGAGTGAGAACTTGTTACCTGCCATGACTTCTTCTAAGTGCATTACCTGTATTACCTCTTTTAATCCTCAGAGAAAACAGATGAGGTAGTTATTATACCCACTTTTCAGAATAGGAAACTGAGACTCAGAGAGATTACGTCACTTGCCCAAGCTCAGGACTGGCCCCCAAGCTGACGCTGCCGAAGCCTGTGTCCCCAGCTCTGAGTATGTGCCCTCCACAGGGCAGGCTTCGTGGGCCAGCTCTACTCTGAGCGGGTGTGAGAGCCCGCACCTTGTAAAGGTGAAGACTGAACAGGCTCCTGCTTAATGGACCAGGAAACCCCTAGCCCAATGAAGAAGGTCAGGCCTGGCCTCCCTCTCACCCCAATGTGGATATGGTCACCTTTGGGGGCAAATAATGCTTAACCAATTATTCGTTTACATTTACTTCTGCATATAAGAATTTGTTTACTCAACTCCAAAGCACCTGGTTGAAGAGAAAATTTAGTCAAACCAGTAAATATTGTGTAGACAAAAACAACACCTGTTTGACTTGTTTAATGGATGGCTTTTTTCTTTTTAAAAACTGACCAATCAGTTCAACCAAATTAGTTCACAGCTGCCTTCCAGGAACCCGAGGAAGTGAGGGCTGCTGGTATACCCTGGGGGGCTGCTCAGGTCTGCTCCGGAAGGCCTGCCCGGTCAGGGGTGACGGAGCTGTGGGCTGTTCATGGGGTCACCACATATACCCACGTGGAAGGTGTCCAAGTCACACAGTTAAATGGGAAAGCTCATTGTAAACTGTATGTGTAGTTCTGTAAAAAAAAACAACAGTCTCTCTACTACTGATTAGTTCATCCATCCCAACAACGCTTGCTCGTGCTTGGTCCCATTAACATGGTCCTGGGACAAACCTGTGCCTAGGCACGTATGATTGTGGGTACGGGAGGGAACTCTGTGTGCGCGTGTGTGTGTGTGTGTGTGTGTGTGCGCGCGTGCGTCTCTGAGGTCTGTGTGTGTGTGTGAGTGTGCACGTGTCTCTGGAGTCTGTGTGTGTCTGTGTGTGTGCATGTGTCTTTGGGGTCTGTGTGTGCCTGTACGTGTGTGTCTTTGAGGTCTCTGTGTGTCTTTGCGTGTGTGCATGTTTTTTGGGTTCTGTGTGTTTTGGGGTTCTATGTGTGTCTGTGTGTGCACATGTGTGTGTCTTTGAGGTCTCTGTGTGTGTCTTTGGGGTCTGCGTGTGTCTGTGTATGTGTGTGGTGTGTGCGTGTGTGTCTTTGGGGTGTGTGTGTGTTCACGTGTGTGTCTGGGGTCTGCGTGCCTATGTGTATGTGGGAGTGTGCGCTGGAAGACAAGGACACAGACCCAGAAAGAGTGTGGGAAGGTAATAAAGAGCGGAGGAGGGACACCCCTCCCGGGATGAACGCGGCCTGACAGGAGCAAGAGCGCTGCATTTGGCCGGAACTTGGCGACTCTGGACCGGTCCCCTGAGTCTCTCGGCTGTTTCACCACCTGGTAGACTTCCCAAGTCTTAGGTCGGAAGCGGGTCTCCTGCCCTTCTTTAGGGATCTTTGTGGCTGCAGCCGGGAGCCCTGGTGGCACAGTGGTTAAGCGCTCAACTGCCAACCAAAAAAGCCGGCGGTTTGAAACCACCAGCAGCACTGCGGGAGAAAGATGTGGCAATCTGCTTCCGCAGAGATTTACAGCCTCGGGAGCCCTGTGGGGTCGCTATGAGTCGGGATCAACTCATCAGCAGTGGGTTTGGTCTGGCTCTTTCGGTGGCTGCGGTTGAGAACGTGCTGGGTTGGTCTCTGCTTGGCTTCTGAGTGCTCAGAGCGGAGGGCTAATGAGGGCTTGGTCGACTTCACACAAGCTCGCTTAAAGAGGCCAGAGAACCAGGTCCCTGCCGCGCGCGTCCTCAAGAAAGGAGGCCCCGCTGGGGGCCGCCCCTGCCTCGCCCGCCCTCCCATGCCCACAGCGTTATCTGCCCTCTTCCCTCAAACATCCTTCCTTCCACCCATGGAAAACCTGCAAGTGGCCTGCTGTGGGAGGACTGGGGTCTGCAGCCGCCGCTCGGTGGGGGGATGGCACACAGCACTCCCAGGAGGCCACGTGCTGCCGGGTGGGGCGGCAGGACCGTGGGCTCGAGCAACAGCGCCCCCTCTGGTGGCTCTGAGGCAGCGACTCTCCATCCTCTGGAAGAAGACAGGATGGCCTCTCTCCCCCGACCCTCGGCTGCTTTGTCTGTGAGACGAGGCGGCCCTCCCGGCCCTGGTGACTCATGACTCCGTGAAACTACAGTGCAGCTCTCCCCACACAGAGCTCTGGCTGCAGGCAGAACTGGGCAGCAAGGGAAAGACTCTGAGAATAAAACCTCTAAGGATAAACCTCTCTACGCTGTTGGAATATACCTACTCCCTTAATTTATTCAGTTCATAAAACATATTCCCCAGGGAGACAGGCAGAGGTAAGCTACAACCCAACCC